ATATGAACCCGACATATCGCATTTGCACATTTTTGGTTGTGCGGTCTATTTGCCGATTTTGCCGCCCTTACGTACAAAATAGAGCCTCATCAAAGGATGAAACTCTATGTCGGATATGATTCTCCTTCAATTATTCGTTAATTAGAACCTTTGACAGACGATCTATTTACTGCTCATTTCGCAGATTGTCACTTTTATGAGACAATCTTCCCGTTGTTAAGGGAGATAAGAACGTCAATGTTCCTGAAGAACGACGCATATTAGATCTTCAGAGCATGCCAGATGCTTTCATCGATATAACGCGAGTGACAAGATCACATATTCCAGCTGCAAATGTGCCTGCAAAGATGGATGTACCAAATGTACGATAAACTTCCCTCTTGGAGGCCTGGGGTGCCACTTTGGCTGATCCACGTACATTAGTAGCTAGCCAATCATCTGACCCTACACAAAAGCATGGCATACCACTTGGTTCAAAGGATTCACACCCCTGGAAGTGGAAACCCATGGCACATGCACTTGAAGAGCCTACCGTGAATCTGACTGTCGCTTATTCATTCTATCCAACTTATGAAGAAATTCTAAGTTACGGAAGCGTCATTGAAAAGACGAATTCACCTCCGAGAATCGTGAGATTTCGGTCTATTATGGTAGCTTGGATGATGTTTGGTGTAGAAATGAGATGATCGTCGAAGATGCATTAACATATGCAGTAGCTACTGAGATCATGTTGAGTGATGACATTGAACCCCATTCTATTGATGAATGTTGACATAAAACTGATTGATTAAATTGGAAACAAGCAATCCAAGTCGAACTCTATTCGTTTGCGAAACGTAAGGTGTTTGGACATGTAGCTCATACTCCTCCACATGTGAAGCTTGTTGGCTACAAGTCGATTTTCATTCAGAAACATAATGAGAAGAATGAAATTGTGCATTACAAAGTTCGTCTTGTTGCGCAAGGCTTCTCACAACGCCTCAGGATTGACTATGACAAAACTTGTTCCCTCGTTATGGATGTGATTGCTTTTTGCTATCTTATCAGTTTGGTAGTTTCCGAAAAATTGAGTATGCAGCTAATGGACGTAGTAACTGCTTATCTCTATGGGGATCTTGATACGGAAATTTATATGAAAGTTCCCAAATGACTTACATTGACTAAATCAAATATTTTCAAACCCCAGAACACGTTCTCTAGTCAGCTGAGGCATTCACTCTACGGTTTGAAGCAATTCGGAAGAATGTGATATAACCATTTGAGTGAGTATTTCACTAGTTAGGGATATGTGAACAACGAACTATGCCCTTGTATGTTCATTAAGAAGTCACATTCCGGTTTTGCGATTGTTGCAGTTTATGTTGACGACATGAATCTCATCAGAACTCCTGAAGAGCTCGCAAGAACTATCACTCACCTGAAGTCGGAATTTGAAATGAAATATCTAGGAAAAACTCGATACTATCTCGGTCTCAAGATAGAGCACCGTTCGGATGTAATCTTAGTATATCAATCGAACTACACCTAGAAGGTCTTGCGCCACTTTAATGAAGATAAAGCGAAGCCTTCAAGTACTCCTATGGTCTTTCGATCGCTAGATGTAAAACGAGATCCTTTATGTTTGAAGAAGGATGATGAAGAGATTTTGGAGCTTGAAGTTCCTTATCTAATTGCGATAGGCGCTTTATTGTACTTAGCTTAATGCACTAGACCCGACATTTATTTCGCTGCTAATCTTTTGGCAAGATACAGTAATGCACCAACACACAGACATTGGACTGGTGTTAAAGACATTTTTTGTTACCTTAAGAGTACTACAAATTTGGGCTTGTTCTATCCCTACGTATCCTTGAGTGATGCCACACCCCCTTATCTCGAGTCAGTTCTCGCCTTATTGGTTATGCCAACGCAAGATACTTATCTAATCTGCACAAGGCGCGCTCTTAAACGGTTTATGTCTTTATTATTCGAGGCATCGCGATCTCTTGGAGATTAACTAAACAGACCTTAGTTACCACTTCATCTAACCATGCTGAAATTCTCGCCCTACACGAAGCAACTCGGGAATGCTTTTGGCTGAGAGCAGTTGTGGGCCATATTCAAAGCTCCTGTAATCTTTACCCTGTCGTTGATGTCCTAACGACGATCTATGAAGACAACGCAGCATGCATCGAACAACTCAAGAAGGATTACATCAAAGGAGACAACACCAATCACATTGCGTCAAAGTTCTTCTTCTCACATCAACAACAAAAGTATCAGAAGATTGAAGTCACACAAATCTGTTCACAAGACAATCTAGCCGACCTTTTCTCCAAATCACTACCGAAGGCGATGTTTTAGAAGCTTGTTCAAGGAATTGGTGTGCGTAAACTTTTTGAGTTGTAACATTGCTAGTTCTCTTTGGAATTGTGTCAAACTCAGGGAAAGTATCCTGAATTATATTTGCTTGATTTTAATGTACTATTTTCCCTACGATTATGAGCATTTTTCCCACTGGATTTTTGCTACCTAACGAGGTTTTGACGAGGCACCCACCTTGGGTTGATCATATCCCTGATGACGTCCCCTAGACGTTTCATTTGACTTTGCATTACTCACACATTTTTCCTTAGACTATGAATTTTGTCCCTACTCGGGATTTTTACCATAGCCCTTGGAGGAAAAAGATTTCTTCTTTGGCTTATTACTATAAATAAAGGCACTCCGTAGGGGGAATAACACATCCTCTACACAACTCTACAAATACATCACTCTCTCTTTATCTTCTCTATGCCGACAACCCACTCGTCCCTATCAGTTAAATATAGGCCACAACAGTGGATAAGTTATCTATTTATCGTGGAAAGTGATGAATAAGTTATCTGTTTATTGTGGAAAGTGAAGAATAAGTTATCTGTCTATCATGGAAATAGTGGATAAGTTATCTGTTTATCGTGGAGATTAACATGGTGCAAAATTTGAGAGAACATAGTGTGAAGTTAAAAATAAAAATAAAAAGTGGTGGAGAAGTTATCTGCATATCGTGGAGATATTTTTTGTGTGTTTCTTTTTTAAAATACTAGTAATGGGCCCACACACGATATGCATGCGAGAAATTAACCTAGTGGAAAGTTAAAAAGATTAAAAAAAATGGTGGAGAAGTTATCTGTATATTGTAGGGATATGCTTTTATTTTTTTGTGTGTGTTTCAGATTTGCTTTGATGACATGTGAGGAAGGGAAAAAAATCAACAAAATTTTGTTGTGCGAAATTGATTTTTTTTCTTGCAATTTTCACTACCTTGAAGAAAAGAAAAACTAACGAAAAGTCTAAAAAAACTTTAGTTTTAATGAAAAATGACAAATAAAGGTGTAGTGAATAGTACCAGGAAATGTAAAAATGTGGTTTTTCGTTAAAAGTGAATAGTACTGGGAGTGTTTCTTTAAAACTCATTTGAAGAAAAGGAAAACTAACGAAAAGTCCAAAAAAACTTTAGTTTTAATGAAAAATGACAAATAAAATTGTAGTAAATAGTACCAGAAAAATGTAAAAATGTGATTTTTCATTAAAAATGAATAGTATTGGGAGTGTTTCGTTAAACCTCCTTGAAGAAAAGCTTTTTATTTAGGTGACTCTTCAATCGTATAGTGTTTTGCTCGAACCACTAACAATTCTCTCATGGAAATGAAACTCTTAAATAAATGCACATATTTTTTTACTATATATTATTTTTATTACTCGAAAAATAAGAAGAAAAAAACAAATGAACATATTATACGTAGAGTTATTTTTACTTTACTATTTTAAGTTTCACAAAAGTCGCATTTTGTTACAGTTATGTATTTTCATCATACTTTCATACTTGAAATTTGATTTTTTGTCATTTTTATACTTTTGTTAGTCTATCCCTCAATTACTGTGGCAACTTTGGCCCACCAAAAATTTAAAATTATTAAAAAACAAAAACAAAAAAAAAAATTAATAAAGAAGATCCATCTTTTTCCCATACAGCAACCAACCCCACGCCACCGCACACCCTCGTTCGCATTCCCCCACCACGCAATCTCGCCCTCGTTTCTGAGCAGCCGTTGGTCGAATCTGCGGTTGGCTTGAAACGAGGCGGTTGTCCGATGCACATTGGTTGACCACGAAATCAATTTGACCCACGACGCGACCCGCTTCATCTCTTGACCCAAAAAACAATCCAGGCCTACTCCGAATCTGCAATGTTTACAATAAGTTCGAATCTTTTGCGCTTGTTTTAGTAGGTGGCCTCTCTTTGCCTCTATAATTAATTTATCCTTTATGACAATAAAGTTAAAAAAATGAAATTTATTAACACATGTTCTTCAATTATGTTGGCAGTATGAGTTAACTCTCAACACGCCATCGAACGTGTGACTGATTTTCAAGCCTACACGTGGACAACAAGTGAATGATACGTGAGCCCGTGTGTCCTTTTGGATTTTCACATAATGGACAACCTGTTCTGATACTATAAGAGCAGTTCCACCGGAGGTGGAATAGCCCGGCACCCAGTGGAAAAAACAAGCTGGGACTCAGCCAATTCACTCCAGCCCGTGGAATAGACTGGCACCCAGCTCAAGCCAGTCCACAGGCCGGCCTAAAATCGACAGAGGAAGGAGACGGCTCATTTGACGCCATGTTGACGTCATGGTTACACCCGCATAACATATTCCTCCATCCTGGGGCTCTACGACTCAGGCGTCGCTGGGGCTCTGCAACTTCACAATCTTCGTTGTCTCTCTCTCCTCGCTCGGCTGCGATCCGGCTCACTCTTGGCACCGATCCGCTTCCAACTTCCATCTCCCTCCATTTTTTTCCCTCTCTCTCTCCTCATTTCTTTCTCTCTCTCATCACCTCTTTGATTCAAGCTGCTGACTGATTCTCTGCTCCCGCTATGATGCCAACGTCCACCAGGCCAACTTCCTCGTTGCCCGCCATGTCCGCCACCCTCTCTGCTCTAATTGCAAATCCGTTGCCGAAACCCCTGATCATCAATCTCTCTGCTTCTCCTGCTCGCCTGAAATTTTTTCCGAAGACTGCGACGGCGACACCATGTCGTCATCCTCGGATTGTTCCACCTGCATATCCATCACAGAAATGGGGACCACAAAGACCGGATACGAGAATCTGAAATCCGAGAGCTCCGTGACGGAGGTTTCCGGTTCAAATACTCCACACAGATTCCCCGACGTGAAGAGGAATATGCTATGGAAATTCTCACGGGAGTGAGCTGGAAAAGAGAGGGAGAAAAAATAGATAGAGAGAGAGAGAGAGAAAGAAAGGACCGGAGAGTGAAAGGAAGAAAGAAGGAAAAATAAATTAAGTGATAAAATATTAATTGTTATAAATAAAATAATATAATATTAAATGAGCTGGGTGCCAGCGTATTTTTAGGGGTGGAGATGCTTTGGCCTATTACTGTTTATTTAAGTGGATAAATGCGCTGGATGCTGGCACAAAGTCTTTAGGGATGGACTTGCTCTAAAGGAAATTGGACTTCTATCATAAAACGAATTAGCAAAATAGAGAGTGGTCCAACCTCTTATAAACATGTGCAAGGTTCTTCCTCTCATCAATGTAGGATTCATTCTTAACACGTCCCGTCACGTGCGGCGAATTTTCAAACCTAACACGTAAACAACACAACTCATGTGACGTGGAGCACATATAACTGTTAGGTTTCACACATAAAACAATTTACTCTAATATCATTAAAAAAGTTGATGTTCCATTGTAAAATTAATTAGCAATACGAGCCAATTCTCAACAAATTAGAGAAACCACAAAAAGAAGTTGATTTGAACTCGTTTACCATTCCCGTAACATTGGCTTTAGTGGCCAGGGCCCAGGGGTGGTGTGTTCTTTGTTTTATTCTTTTCATTTTTAGTGAATGTTTGAATTTGCCGTAGAAGTTGGGAGTAGTGGCTGGTGTGGTGGTTTTGGATGGGTGTTGTGGGTGCGATTAGGAGGGGTTGTGACGTCAGGCGCTTTGAAGATAAAGTGATTATACTCGTGTTTTTTTTTTTCAATTTATTTCAGATAAAACTGAAAATTCAAGAAAATATTTTAAAACTTAGGTGTGAAAACAAATTTATTACCCATGAAATAAAATTTCTTATAAGTTTTCATGTTCCCCAATTTATTGTCTAATATGTGGAGTACCTGCTTAAATATCTGACACTTAAAAAATTCATCTTATAACACGATATATTACCATGATACTTTTGTATGCTAACATAATTAAAATATGTGTATTTTTATTCGAATATTTTTATTTTCTCGTCACAAAAATGCGTAGTGGTATACTCATACCATTTTGTTGTTATCTTTCTAGTCACACGGAAAAAATCTATGTCGGAATTAGTGGAAGATCTGATACCGTACACACTGAGAATGTGCAGCTTATCTGTCATGCACCACTAGAATTCTCCACGCCAGTGATCAGACACTGTTTTCGTACACACTCAGAAAAATGGTGCCTACTTTGTAACCCAAACACATGCAGATAATGTGGTTGATTAAGTAGGTGGTCGGTATAAAAAGCATAAAATTATATGGGGACCACGATGGCCCTTGCATAGTGCAAAGGCAATGTGATTTTGCTTATTGGAATGACATTTTAACTTGTTCACGCGGAAAAATAATTAGATAGATTGCATATGTTGTCACGGAGGAGTTATGGTCAAACAATATAATGTCATTTGGAGTAAGATTAATGTGTGACATTGTGTTATTGGATCGAGACATTACTGTGGTGATGTACCCAATTCAGTTAAGTCATTCTTATTGATATGAAATCCCCTTTTACACTCAACTACTTGAAGAGGAAGAATGTTATATTTGTGCCCCATATAATGATTCAGCAAAGAAACACCAACATATGCAGATTCTGCACTGTTTGCGCAGCCTTCGATCAATGTCCAAGAAGCACAACGAGAAGATGTTCCCTTATTGGCGTTATGCATTGTTCATTGCTGCCATTGTTGGTAACGTTTGTGCAAAAGTTTCTAATGTTCCACGAACTATTTAAGCTTTGAAGTACAGTAGAAGGGAATCATCTTCCCAAAGTCCAAAACTTATTGGCTAAAGAAAAAGCATAGACATGGCCTCTCTTTACAAGTTTCTTAACAAGAAGCAAATCCAACACAAACTAAAGATAACTTATGAATTAAAACAACTTTTCTTGGTTCCTATCAAATATCCCCGGTCCAAAAGTAGAAATTAATAACTCAGCAAGGAACGGAAATTGCATCTATATGAACGAGGCAATTGGAACATTGGCAAGCAAAATGCTTGGAATAACAATCACTTTTTTTCCGTCAAGCATCATGTAAAGTGCACAAGAAAAGGCAATCATCATGGTTGCAATAGATAAAAAGAGGGTGAAAAGGCCTATTATCATTTTTGTGGGCTACGATTTGAGGAAATCATCTTCAGAATAACGTGACGTGAGAATTCCCAGAAACATTATAACCGAGGTTGTGGAAGAAAAGAGTGAGATTGCATCCGAAACTATAAAAGTTGTGAATACCTTTTGACTTAAGAATGTAAGAAGACCTGTATCTCCATTATTTCCTCCAGGAACTGTGAATGCTGCGGCAAACATCATGGTAACAATGAGAGCACCTACAACTGCACAAGAAGTTGATGTGTTTTTCATTGATTCTTCTGCCTCTTTCCCCAATTCTTTATGGCTCTTGGTAAATACTTCACGGGGTGTCATATGATCTTTATTTATAGATTCACGATCATTGCGATCTGCAACACTCTCCACCTCCTGCATTTCATCCAATCAAAGAACTATTTAGTGATGCGACTGTGAAGTACATCTCTTCATATCCTCGAACAATATTTTCCCTCTGAGACAACATTATGAAGTACTTATCTATATTGTTATATGACAATGCGAGTTTGTATGTAACAGCATATACTTAACATGATAATATATATGTATATATAAGAGCGCTCAAGCTCTAACTAGTTAGTAAGTTAATATGACGCTAACCACTGGTTTAGGCTCACTCCACAACAAAACTTCATGATCCAAACTATTCATTTTGAAAATCATCATTCGAAGATCACTCGTACAAAATATTAGTCAAAAATTGGAAATATAAAAATAAACATATATAGATAGATAGATAGTCACATTGAACCATTGTAGTTCTCTTTGCATTTGCAAAGTTGCACCTCGAATGTGATTAATTGTTGACAATGTCATTGAGGAAATACTTCCTACTTTATGTAGCATATTATTGCCAAACTTATCAACGAGGCCGACAACCTCACTTCTTTTCATTTTGGTCAATTTTACTACATCACTTTGATCAGAGTCATCGAAGGCATGTATAAGATTATAAACTTTGTGCTGACGGCATTCAGCGACAACTTGGAACAAGTTCTGTCCTTTTTCATTCCGAATTAAGTTTAAGGCAAATGAGGAAGCTCTGCGTAAATGAGTAATATACTCCACATGTCCTTATTCTGCTGGTGCGAACAATACTTTGTTCAAGCATACGATTTGGTCAAAATTCCTAGCTTCTATCAAATTCTCAAACATGAGGGGTAGAAACTGGTTGACTCTCTCATGCATCAATTTCATCCGATATATACGATTGATTCCTAAGTTCATTGAAACAAATATAAATTACAAACATTTTAAAATATAATATTGACTCTTAATTTAACAATAATAATAATTCCTCAATTTAACGATAAGAATATGTGGCCTACCCAAAAGTTCTTGGAGCTTCGTCACCAGTCCTCGGATATATAAACCCGGTACTGCAATGCAAGTCCCATATTATGGCCATAAACGTTGGTTAATACACACACACACGCTATAATAAAAGAAGGGGAAAAAAAAGAAGAAGGAATGCAGGATAGGTATAGGATAGTCAGGGCCGGCCCTGAGAATTTAGGGGTCCTAGGCTAGCCTTCGAAGTGGGGCCCTAAAATTCTCTGATCTCCGGTTCTTTGTATATTGATATGTATAAAAAAGAATTCGTTAAATACATAAAAAGTTCTATTTTCACATCAAATATAATTAAAAATCAATATCAAAAGAAGATAAATATACAAACATTATTTAAACATTACACGATTCATGTTTTTAGACACAAATGTACTAAATGTTTGCAGTCAAGAGTCTAAGATTGAGAGTCAAGAACAATAAAACTTGATTGACGAGTATAATAAATTCAACACCAATTGTTTCTCTTGTGTTTTTTTTTCTTCTAAAATCAACATCACACTAACGAATTGAATATTAAAATAATCCATTTACTAAAGAGTTATTGAAAAGAAAAATATAAATTCAAAGTTTTGATTATCTTAAAGTACAATCTTTAAGACTATATGATAGTTGGTTTACATTCAATAGAAATGGAGAGAATGAGAAGTTGGTTTAAACATTCGATAGAAATGGAAAGAATTAGAAGTTGAAAGAAAAAAGATTGCAAAGAGACTTGAGTTTTATAACTTTATATGCATTTGAACATATGGATTGGCAGTAAATCTGAAAAACAAGAAAAATCTAGTGACTGAAAGGCAGCTTCATGTTTCAAACTCAACATCCCAAAGAAAAATGAAGCCAACATTTCCACTGCACTAACAAATGAATTATGATATTTCTTACTTTTTTTTATTTATATGTTAATTATAGGATATAAATTTTTTTTGGAGGCCCTTCTGAAGTAGGGTCCCTAGGCGGGCGCCTACTTGGGCTACCCTCAGGGCCGACCCTGAGGACAGTATATCAGCTAGAAACAACCTGAGCTTGTAGTGGGTTTGGCTTTTAGAAGAAGTAAGTCAACACTTAGCTTGAACTAGTTAGACAAACCAAGCTTGAGCAGCGTGATAGTTTGTTTGGCTCGACTCAGTTATAGCCATAAGTAGGAAGTGTAAATACGGATTAAGATGTTCATACATCTATATTTGTAGTAGCATTATAGAACAACTTCCCATGGCATTAACAAAAACCAAATCGCAATTCAAACACGTAATATACCTACGGAAATGAGACTCTGATTCTCTTTTTGGTCTGACACATGCCTTTGATCACTCTGACTATCGTTGTTGATGGGAGGAAGATGTTTTTTGCGTATACCTATCAAGAAAAGAACACAAGCCCAAACATATTAATCGAATAAAAAACTTCTGAAGCTAAGTTTTTTATGTTTTGTACTCATTCAGTACTTCTAATTGGATAATTACTCTATCATAAGAATGGTAGTTGCTATAAATGTCACGAACCAAACATATATAAGCCTGGAAGTAAATGATATATATTACATGGCTATAAGTTTCGAGCATTTTTTAACATTCCGAAAGAACTTGGCCCTCAAACCAACATGGGACACTGCTATCAGTGTTATGATCGTTCATTTGTTCTTGCTCAATGTCTTGGTCTTTTTGGTTCTCTAATGGGCGCTCTTGAGGCCCATCTCATTTAGGCCCAAAGACAGCTCTATATTATTTTAATGGTCCAACAGGACCTTGTGCTAACACAGACATATATTGTTTTTTTTTTTTTTTTTTTTTTTTTAATTAGAGTCCGCTTAATCAGTTATTTGTTGCTGCAAAAACTGATTCGTTAGATAAAACATGGGGAAACAAAACACTAATTACAAAATCTGTTGATGTTAATCTTGTGAACATAGTAGAGCTAAAGGATATTTATTGTGGAGGGTAACTTTGAAAATTGCAGTCACAGAATAACGGAATATATGAGGAGCAAATAAAAAGTGGTATTGTACTAACCATAATATATCAAATTTTCCTAGAAATTGAGCCGGCATCCACTTAAGAAAGCAGAATGGTTACTGGCCAATGTTATTAAGGAAAAATCTCCGTTGTAGTCTTTAGCCATGCCTAATTGTAGATAACGCTGAATCAAATCCTACGCAATATCTATATATAATAGAAGTGTGATTAAAAAAAAGAACATTGTGAGTTTGCAGAAAAAATTTGCAACAAAAAAATTCACACGGGCAAAGAAGATACGAGGCAGTGACCTTAATAATTGGTCATGTTTGAAAGTCGATCGATTCTGTCTCTTACCAAATCTATGGAGGTGAAAACCGAGAGAAATTAGTTGAGTGGCATCGCTAACGTGTAGAGTGTCGTGTGGAGTGACCGAATACAGATAACGAGCCATTCTTTCCCCATTTGACAACCTCTGAGCCTCGACAACTAGAGGAGTCGTCCTGTTGCCGATGGTATTGGCAGGTAAAATACTAAGTAACTTGTCGTTCTTTTCAACCATGCTTTTAGCTACGTCCACCCTATCTTGACAAAATATTATTAAAAGAAAAAGAGCTGTCAAACCAAGATTGTCTTGTATTTCCAAGTCTTCCTTTGTCATTGAATCCACCAGCTGTTTTATGATGCGCACCCTACTTCTGAAATTCCAGAGGGCGTAGTGAAAAGCGGTACCGCCACCTTGAATTTTGTCATCTGAAATTCTTGCACTTCCGAGCTCGGGATGTTTGCGAAGTAACTTGATGGCATTATCCCAATCTCCCGACTTCACAGATTTGACGAAAGTTTCCCGGATATCATTGCCACTGCTCTCATCATGTCCTGCGTGCCATGCTTTATATACAAATTCTAACATTGTTAATAAAACTTCTCTTAGCAGTCGATGCAGATTTAATTAGTATTGATTAGAATTATATACAAGTCTTAGCATATATACCTCCGGTGCGCCCTTCTTCCTTTGCCAACTCTGGGATGGCATCATGTTGAATGGTTCGTGTTGGATATGCTTGAACAAGTATCCTCTCGTTTGAAAAAGGAAATCTTGGTGTTCAGATATTACCATGGTAAGAATATGAGCATTAGTATGAGTTGTGAATTTAGTTATTGAATTCAAGATTGAATAGAAAGTCTTGTTGGGAATGGATTTGTAATCCATGTTGTTCTGAAACACTTGAGGAACAAAGATACTGAACTACTATTTGAATAGAATCAGATTTCTATATGGATTTTAATAGGGGAATCCTTATAGAACTTGGCTAGGATTATGTTGTCTATATAGTGGCATATGCTCTCACAGTTTGCACGCTCTATCATCGGACTAAAACCTATTATTAGTTAGAGCAAAAGTTAGAGTAAATTGATTACTGGAGAGAGGAGAAGGTGCACTGCTTGTTTGCTGTAGAACTTGGACATGTGCTTGTCACATCTCGGCTTAGGCCCCATCACATCCCAGGCTCGACTCCGCCGTAGCACGATATTATTCGTTTTGGGTCCCGACCACGTCCTCACGGTTTTGTTTCTGGGAACTCAGAAGTTCCCAATGGGTCACCCATCATGAGATTGTTTTCGCGCAAACTCGCTTAACTTCGGAGTTCCGATGGAACCCAAAGCCAGTGAGCTCTCAAAAAGACTCATGCTAGATAGAGATGATAATATACATATAAGGTTTAAAGGATCCTCACCCCTAAACGATGTTGGATCTTACACTGCTTCTTCTAGTTCATCTACCGGTAAGTTTCTTCTCTGTGCTACAGGATTATGAATTGGGTTTTGTGTTTTGATCACTGTGATTCATATCACATGTTTCTGGTATATGTTTATGCTAACAACCATTCAATTCTCAATTTGCCTTTTCTGTTTCCTTCTTACAAATGCCTGTGTTTGTGAGAAGTTCAGCTGGTACTGGAGAATAATCGTGCACACATTTCTACTTATCAATTTATGTCGTACCTCTTCCGTCTGATGATTGATTACGACCTGGATTCAATTTTTCTAACAAAGTATCCCATGCTTCTTTGGCTGTGGTTGCGCTCTTGATAAATTGATAAGTATCATCCCCGCAAGAATTCGGGATTGCATATAAGGCCTTGACATTCTTCATCTTCCAAGCCTTAATTTCAGCTTCTTTTTCTTCTCCTGTTTTGATAATTGGTAAAGATCCCTAGAGAAAATAGGAAAATGAGAATATATGAAATAAGTATGAATTTAAATACAATCTAATTTCCAAACAATATGAAAATCATAGAACATACATCAATTGGAAAGGGGTCAATAAGAGGCGGTTTTTTATATGTGCCTTCGACAATATCCCAAAGATCTTCTGCCATCAAGTAAGTCTTCACCCGAGGACTCCAATCGTCATAGTTCTTAAGGTTAAGAACTATAGGAACAATTGTAGCTGCTGCCATGTTCAATCTGCCTACTTATTCAATGAGATTTTACGTCAATCGAGCATACGTGAAACCAAAAAAAGGAAAAAAAATTGAAACAAAGGAAGTCTAAGCATACCTTAAACGATGAACATATAAAAAAGTCAGTGACCAGACGGCCCAAATGTGATGACAAACTTGAACAACCACCAAGGCATGTAAGGATAAGGGCTCTGAGAAACCATATACCCCCGGAGCTTTGGCGCTTTATATAATATAAACTGACCAAGCATCCTGCTGTACTCCAAAAAGGTTGGTGGAGTCCTCGACTTTGTTGAGATTGATCCTTCTTGTTCTGCAAGACAGAGAAAACCTGATCCGACCCGGATAATACAAGTTTACTATATTTTTAGATATTCCTACAATCTAAGGATTAGGGCGTGACTCAAGTAATCACTCCTAAATGAAACAATATCTAATCCTAGATATTTTCTTAGATTCTCTTAGTTTAATAGGTATTGTATATTCTAAAAGGTTTCTCCCGACCAGTATAAATACCCTCATGTAGAGTAGATTTCTAGTAGCAATTATGTAATGCATACATTATTCTCTTTTTTCTGCTTGAGTCTTAATATTGCTTACTAACTTGACTGCTCGCACCGTTGCCAAGGTCTGACTTCAATTGTTTGCTTTCTCACAGGTAGCTAGACTTGCTCACCACCTTTGTCTACGACGCTACACAAATTTAATTTCGATGGATCATCTTGTACTTACTTGGTTTATTGCAAGGAAGAAGGAGGTGAAACTTGCACCATCAGATACACAAATATTATCCTTACAAGAAAGTATAATCAAGCTTGTAGAGCAAAAAATAATCAAGAAAATTATGAAGACAACACGTGGAATTTTAGGTAAAAATGACAAAAATTACCCTCAAGACACACCGGGATTCCCACACTTGTGCAAAGGACAACAACAGTGATCAAAATGATATTTATTCAAATCCCTCTCATCACTCTTCATCAAATCCCCACTTAAATTAAAAGGTAACTTCCAATTATCCTATTTAAATTAGGATTGATTGCCTAGATTAATTGCAATATTATTTCACATAATATTACATAATTGCAAGATATTATTTCACATAATATCTAGCAATTGAATCCCTAATTCCACCAAAAATGGCCAGACCCTATTCTCCAAATAGGGCCAACCACATCTCTATAAATAGTCCAATTTTTTCCACTAAAATGCTAATTCATTCTCTCTTTAAAAATTCCTAAATACTTTCTCTCTCAAATTCTAACTTTGGTATCGGAGGTTCTTCAGTCAAAACCCTCCTCATTCATCGTGGACGAATAAGATTCTCGACCTTAATTTTAGGTGTTATTATTTTACAGGTATATTTTCTTCAAAAATAAGGAAATTTGCATCCACAAAACTCGTTCCTCTTTTGGTCCACTTGTTCTCAAGAAAGTGTAATCAAACTCTTTCCTTTTTTTTTTTTGGTCAAAACTCTTTCCTCTTTTGATCCACTTGTTCTCTTATCTCATCCCTTAACAAGATCTAGAAACTCCAAAAACTAATTGATTGCGGGGCCTTCTTTGTATGCCCACCTCCAAGCGTAGACACGGTTTCGTCTCTTCTTTTTAGCAAGACTAAGACAACCCTTTCAATTTGACCCAAAAAGAAAAAAAAAAAGACACTTTCAACTATGCATGATTCATAACAATCGAATCAGGATTTTTTCGGACTCTCTGTATGAAGAGTCTAGGGATCAACTTATCTTAATTGTTCATTGAATATTGTGCAGTCAGTTTTAAGTTAAGATTGTTTGTGTTCAATTTAAATAAAAAATTTAAAATAATTTCTGACCGCATGATGACTGATAACCAGATAGAATTAATTGAACCCTAATATCCTCACAAAGAGGATCCGAATACAATCATGTTCCTTAACAATCATAAATTAGTCTGGAAACAAGAAGTGATGTTCTTTTGCCACAAGTATGAAAATCAAATATTGATATTTTAATTTTACTAAGACGCCTTATCTCACTGAGAGGTATCAGTTGTATAAATCCTTCATTATCATAAGAATTTGATTAAAAACAAAATGTCAGTTGTTGACTGCTTGACACCTTTCGTCCTCTTTTATTCAGGCTTGAGAATAGCAAAGTTAATCTTATTCCAACACTATTTTAAAATAATAATCTCATTACAAAAAAGACAGGTGTAAGCTCACTATGGAGTGTTGTCTTTCTTTTTCCAAAATATATCTTTGTTTCAATTGGACAAATAGAACTTTAAGCTAAAAAATCCACAGTACGAATATGGTCCTCTTCATCGAATTTGAAATTTTTTAAATTAATCCCACGTCAGTGAAATTGATGGGAGATTTTTATATACGAGATACCAAATTCACGTGATTTATTATTTTCTTTGTTGTATTATGGGTGGATGCATAATTTGATGTCTCATTAGTAAACTATTTTGATAAAAATGAGGAGAAATTACATTTTACCGGCTAAAATTTGAGTGTAATTGTAACATTATACAACATGTTTAAAATATTTAAATTTCATAAATTTACTTGATATTTAATTTGAATTTCATACATTCATTAAAAATTCAGTTAAGTTTATTATTTATGAGTGACGCATAGATAAAAGATTATAAAAAAATTAATTTAAAAATAAAATAACTTGTTATGCCAAGTGACCCCACCCCCTTCAATCATAGAGTGGAGTCTGAATGAAATGGGAAACGCCTTCAAATTCAGTCAACCAATCCAAAATTCCATTAACGTGAAGCATTCAAAGATTCAAAATAAACCAAAAATGGAAAATGGAAATCGAAGGGTCGTACCATGTTTGAACACCTGATGATATCTGCAAATAATACTTGTCTGAGAATCTCAACAGGAATTTGGGGCCAATTCGGAATTTTAGCTCTGAGAGAGATTGGTGATGATGAGGCGATGCAAACGAAGGAGGCAAAAAGGTTGAAGGAGAAGACGAACTGAAATCGTCTCGATCTGCACATACAAATCACGATCAAACCCCAACTTCAAAACCCGGCAATGAATTTCCCCTCTCCTTCCATCTGCTTCATTACTTTGGCCCAAGCCTTAAGCGCAAAATTTAAGGTTAAATGATCCGACCCAACCTAAGCTTCGAAGTTTCTTTTAGAAGACAGTTCATAATGCTTTGGCTACGTAGGTGGGCCTTTTTAGGAGACTGGTGGCGCCATCACCTCTCTGTCCAATATGTCAAACTCACGAGGAGACCATTGAGCATCTCTTTCTTCTTGTAAGAAGGATGAAGTTCAAAAGTGTGATCCAAGTGAAGAGACTATCAATGGTTAAAACAAAAGCCATGTGTCAAAAGATTAAATCAGCTAAAATACATATAGTTAGTTAGTTGGAATCTGGAGAGGATAGATAACTTGGTTAGAAGAAGTTAGTTGAGATAAGGAGGTTATGAATGACTTGCTTCACAAGTCTTATAGCTGAACACATATATAAGTGAGCGTTGTAAATCATATTGCATTAAGAAAGAAAGCTTTTATCTGATATACATCTCTATCTCTTTTCTCTCTCTGTTCAACCTTTTCTATTTCTCTCTGTGAAACTATCTTAACATGGTATCATCGCCGGACGATCCGGTGCTTCCGCTTCCTACACATTTTCTTCTCTTCTCTACCCTCTAGTTTGCTTCTTTCTGTGATATTTGGCGTTGGAAACATACCAGTCGCTTCGAAGGTTGGTTTCTTCTCGTCTGCCCACCAACTGTTTGATCAAAAGTCTCAATCAAAGTTCGTCACGCAAATCTACAAAATGGTCACTGCTGCTCAATTGCAAATTGTTCAGTTTCCTATTACTGGTCTTCTCTCCATCGTCTCCACTTCTGTTACAGTAAAACTCGATGATTCAAACTATCTTACATGGAGCTTCCAAGTTCGATTGCTTCTGAAAAGTCATGGCATTATGGGGTTTATCGATGGTTCACGAAAGTGTCCACCAAGATTCAATGAAGATTCTAACACTGAAGGGATTGAAACTGATGACTATTTAGTCTGGAAAATGCACGATCGTGCACTAATGCAATTGCTCATAGCCACATTATCCACAACTGCCATTTCCTGCATCATTGGGTGCTAGAGTTCTGCAGAAATGTGGTTGAATCTTACTGAGCGTTTTTCTGCGGTGACAAAAGCTACAATCTTTCAGATGAAGACAGAGCTTCAGAATATCAAGAAAGGGTCTGAATCAGTTTCTGTTTATCTTCAAAAGATTAAGGATGCAAGGGATCATCTTGCTGCAGCTGGAGTATTATTTGATGATGAAGATATCATTATTCTTGCATTGAAAGGATTACCTTCAGATTTCAACACGTTCCGATGTGTGATCAGAGGACGGGAAAATGGAATATCTCTTAAAGATTTCAGGTCTCAACTTTTGGCAGAAGAAGCAATCATCAATCAATCGTTTGATAGTTCTCCTGGTTTGTCTTTTGGTAGTGCTATGGTTGCTGGCATTCAATCTGACAAAGGGAAGGCTCTTGCTCTTGATCAAGATCAATCCAAATCTTCTTCTGATCATTCCTTCAAGTACAATGGAGGACCAAGTTCTGCCAGTCATAGTCAAGGGTCTACTCCCGGTAGTGGGTCGTATAACACTTTCAATGGTGGTTATCACACTTATGGTAAATGGAGTTCTTTCAGAGGCAGAGGGAAAGGCCGTCTTCAGTACAATTTCACTCCAAGATTTTCTAATGGTAATCCAGGTATTCTTGGTACTCCAAAACCATACCAGTCTTACTGTCCGGATCACCCATCAGAAATTCCCACCTGTCAAATATGCAACAAAAAGGGTCATGTTGCTGCAGATTGCTTCCAAAGACATAACACCACTGCTTCAAACTCTCCTATTCAATGCCAGATATGCTGGAAATATGGACACTCAGCCCTTCAATGCTACCACATGAGTAATTTTGCCTATCAAGGGCGGCCCCTAACTCTTAATCTCACAGCTATGCATGCAAATCATCAACCTTCAGCACCAACTGAGCAATTTTGGATTGCAGATACTGGGGCTACATCACACATGACCTCTGAATTGGCAAACCTGGATCTATCTACTCCATATCAAGGGTCCGATACAATCACTACTGCTAGTGGTGCAGGTTTGCAAATTTCAAATATTGGCACTTCTACATTGGTTGCCCCACAACATTCTCTCACTCTTAAGAATGTTTTACATGTTCCAAAGCTTTCCTAGCATTTGTTATCAATTTATCAACTCTGCAAGGACAATAAGTGTCGATTTAT